GGTCATGTCTCCTGGGACATGTCACTACATACCAATCTCACAGGACTGCATATCAGGGATAAGCCTCTTCCAAGAGACGCATCGCACTGGAGCCAGCAGACGATTGCAGAGTTACAGAATGTATCGTCCCGGCCGTCTTCGTCGTACCAACAACAAGTTCAGGAGTCGCGGGGAATTACTGGGCATTCTTCATATGAGAAGATGCAAGGGTGGTATGGCAGCAATACCTCGGGTTCCCAGGCAACGCGGACATCCCCTGAAGACTCGAGTAGCAGCGAAGGCGTTCATACGCCCTCTACAGCATCACTTGAGTACCACCCAGCCATTGTGCACAACAGCGGCTACATCGAGTCCCATCCACCTCCCATGACCTGCGATACATCTCACTCAGTACGCCCCCCGTTTCCTGGACATTCGATGACCGGCCACAGTCGCTAATGTACAATACAGGCTTGCCCCCCACTCTCGCAGTTTTCTGATGGCTATCAGCACAATGTGAAACCCGATCCACGACCGGATTTCTATCACAATACGTCCGCGCGAGACTCGGGGATGGGAAGGCTCGAGGCTCTTGTTGCAGTCGCCACGAGCGAAAATAAAAGTACTGCAAAGTTATACGGATAAAGAGCTTCCTCTCCAATCATGACCCCGCCGATCCTCGACCACAGCTTTCGTATGTTATCCCAGCAGATAGTGTCTACTTTGATATCGCCGCCATTTCTTCCTCGTCTTATCCTTGAAACATTTGACCAACCTGCCGATTTAACCCGAATACTTTGAATTTTGCACTTACGGTTCCGCATCAACGCGGAGACGTTTATGAAGTGACGACTGATGATTCATGCATGGGGCTTTTTTTTTTTTTGTCTTTGAATTTAATCGCTGTGGAGGCTTGCTCTTTCGGATAGCAAGGACTCGTTCGGGTATTCTCGAGTGATCTGTAGCTGCGGTGACGTTGTTTTTGCATGTTCCGGCGTTGATTGAGGGATTGTGTGTTCTCTATGGCATAAAGATACCCTCGGCCTCGATCTCGGATATAGCTACTATGGAAGCGGGGTTTCCTACTCGGGTCGCGGTGGAATTTCACCTACTGAATTGTTTGATATACTTGATCTTCTGTTACTGCAGCCCTGTGATACGATTCGATTCTGTTTTAGTATATTTGTTGAGCGTCTATAAGAGACTGGGTATAGCCACTGCAATCTTGCAATCTGAGCGGGATAAACTATTTTTAATGAAACTTGCTAAATCGGATGTAGTGCCATGTCCTGTTTGGCTGGGGCTGAGCTAACGGATACATGACGTCTACCCCACATGTTACACTCTACGACGTCAAAACCACAAGTACCAAGCGGGTAGGGGTACATTGTCTGGCCATACCTATGAGACGGTCTCCGTAAGATGATCATCAGGTGACGTCGATGGCAAGGTATTCTCCTCGTTGGTGCACATTACCCCAGATGAATAGGTGTCAGTACGCTCCGTATAGAGTCCATCCTCCAATGTCCAACAGAGGCTGGTTAACTTTGATTGCATGTAAGAGATAACTGAATTCAATTAATCACCTAGCCACAGCGAGATGGCATTAAAATGAAAACTAAAGGAAAAGGGGAAAGTATTCAATTTGAAGAGGAGTAACGGGGGGGTTACAGGACTGGGGAGCTGGACAGTAAGCTACATACCTAGCTAAGGTAGTATCTCGTCGACAACGTCATAGGCAGCCCAGCCCAGCCCAGTGACCAAGGCCATTTCTCTGCCCATACTTCCACTCCCTGACCTTGGTTGCTAGCTCTCTTGCGTTTCTTTTTGCCTCTTATTTATTTCAGTCTCTTCTTTCTCCTTGACTGGAAAGATACTCCACGACCAAAATAGCTCTATACTCAAGTTTGAAATCAACTGAAGACAACCTATTCCCATTCACCCACCATGTCCAAGAACCGTACACCCATGTACCTTGGCCTGGGCGCCGCCGGCCTTGTAGGTTACTACCTGTATCGGGCCGGGGGGAGTCCCAAGGTCGCGAAGAAGGAGATGGAGAGTGAGTTTTTTTTTTTTTTTCCTAGGTCCTGGTTGATAATTTATGTATTGATTTGCTGATGCCTGTTGCTTCCAGTCGATGCCCACAAAGCCAGAGCAAAGATCCCCCGCGGTTCAGAGGCCGCAAGAGTCGGCGAGGAATTCGGCAAAGAAGTGAATGCTACTGGTGACGAGGCGGTAAGCTCATTACCTACCTACCCTCGAGGACTACTATCGAATGACTGGAGAAGATGCTGATGTGTTGAGGGTAGATCAACAATGCCCGCACCAAGGCCAAGATCGACGAGCGCATCCCCGAGATCACTCAGAATGGCAAGCACAAGATTGACCAGCTGCGTTACCAGGCAGCGGATAAAGTCCGTGCTGGGGTTGACGAGGTGGACAAGAAGGTTGATCAGTTTGATCGCGAGGTTGAGAAAAAGGCGGGTGAGGCAAAGGGGACTCTGTCGAGTTGGTTTGGAGGGAAATAAGCTTTTGATTCGCTTACCACCTTTGCTTTGAGGAACTTCGGGCTTGCAGTAATGCATTCAAATGGGATTTCGAATGGGTTTGGTTCAGACCTGGTATGACGTTACGATTTGGGAGATGAGAATGGTATACTCTCCGTACTCTCGTACTTTGATGGACGATCACTTCGTCGGTTGCAGCAGCAAACTTTCGATAATGAACTTTATGATAACTTGCATCTCCGATTAGACCAAGAATGGGCTCGTTCGATAAGATAGATAGGCTTGGATAAGATTGGTGATCTGCATACTCGCGTGGAATGTGGCATTCCATGTAGGTATTACTGTAGTGATCGAGTGGATGCCATTGTATCGATGCTGTAACTGGGAGCTGGAAACGAATTCGCGGCTTCGAAAACTCATATATCTTGTCTTGAGTATCAACATAACAATCTTGAATGAAAATAAGTACAACAGGATTATCCCCAGATATCTACGGGGTAATATAACCGCATTCGGCACTGTCACGCTAACACGCGCCTTGACGCGTTCGCGCTCCGCTAAGAAAAAACCAAGGTAACCTAACCTTCAGTCCCCTTCGACCCATACACACAGAGCTACCTATATTCAATTGGAAACACCCCACTGGTAGTTTACTATTTTGCATACCTACCTTACCTTCCTAATATCTACATATGCTCCTACCTTACTATCATATCTTTTAATCCCACCGTTAGTACAAGGGAAACTGCGATGCCGCGCGCCTCCTCGAGACAGACCTGCCTTCCCCGAGGACAGGTCGGCATTCAGAGCTTCGCAAGAACGACCAAAGCAGCAACTGCACAGCTCCCCGTCTCGCCTTCCAAGAAGAGGAAACTCAATGAGCTCGAAAATGTCGACTCCGCCGCAGGAGAGCCCCGCCAGACCACCGTCCCGGAAGAAGCTGGCACGCCTTCCAAAACCCTCCGCTTCAGTCAATTGTCAGTCTCGACGCCCCGGAGCGGTCACTATGCGTGTTCGAAACCTGAGGCATCGCCTGCGCCGCCCTCCTCCCCTTCTAAGCGTGGCGGTGCCAGAGCCAAACGCCCCAGCAATCCTATTGTCGTGGAGCGACCGGCTTGTGTGGAGGAATTCTTGGGCTTGCATTCGGCTTTTCTGAAGGCGCTGGCGATTCACTCTGCGCATAACGGGGCAGCGACCGCGGCGGATCTGCGAGAATTTCTTCATGCGGTGGAGCGAGTGTGGAAGAAGCGAAAGGTTGTGGTTAAGGATCTACAGCGGTTGATATGGGCTTGGGAGCAGGGCGAAGAGTGGGATGGTCCGAAGTACCGGCTTGCGAATTACGGGCTTGGAAAGGTGTGTTTGGAGCGGGTGGCTCGGAATGGGGAACGGGTGGACCGGTTCGACGAAAAAGAATTACAAGAGCGATTTGAGCAGGTTGTGGACCTGCTGTGGGAGAAGGCGGTGGATGCGGTTGATGGTGACGAGAGCCGGGTGGATTTCTTCGAGACACTGGGCGTTTCCCCCGTGCACGAGTCTCTGACTCCCTTCACGGCGTTTCGAAAGGGCCAGCAGCGGCTGCAGGATTTGAAGGGCGGAGTGATCAAGCTGAAGACCGAAAAGCTGCGGGCAGACTCGCAGCCTGAGGTCCCGGCCAAGCCGCTGGATGCGACGACCACGCGGCGGAAGGGGCTTCTGGAGCGGATTAAGAGCAAGGAACTTCTTCAGTCGAAGTTGCCGCCGCCGCCGTCGAAGGAGACGCTGCTTCGGCGCGCGGCTGCTGAACGCGCGGAAGAAGTCGTCGCCGTTCTGGCCTTGCTTCGGCCGGTTGGGTATGTGGGCAGCGGGCCGAAAGCTGTTTTGGCTGCCCAGAAGAAGCCGTTCCAGCTGGAGATGATCGTGCAGAATGTTCAGGACTCTCTACGAAACCCAATATCATCAAGGGAGGTGGAAATTTGTGTGGAACTTTTGGCTCGACCGGACATTGCTGGACAATGGATTGAAGTCGTTGCCGTGAATCAAATTAAGTCGGTGGTGCTAAAGTCTTGTGCCACTGTGCACCCCAAAGAAATCAGTGCCAAGATCTGCAAGCTGGAATTGGATTAGGTGATGATTCTTCATATGATCTTCCGATCTCTTTTCTTTTGGATGTTTTGTGTCATTGTTCGATACCATTGGAGTCATACCTACATGTCCAGCATTACTTTGCATTATGAGCAAGCATCATGTACATTAGCGCTGCATCTGTTACCTGCATACACATCCCTCAAGGTCTCTATAATAACGGAATACATCAGTTCAGAGCAAAACTGTTAAATATGCTTTGTAGCACCTGTTCTATTTGATTGGCCCAAAACCACTTCAACGCGAGACGCGCACTCACGTGATCGCGTTGCCACAAGTCGCGTCTGCCGCAGCTCTACTTTTATCAGTCGTCAACAGAACAGAGACGCTTTAAATTGACAAGAAAGCTAGCTTCCCGACTGTCCTTTCATTGTATCGGACAACGCTAGCACAATGTCGTCTCGACCAGATCTCAAGGTAGTCTCCCCAGACGCTTTTAAATCATTCTTCTACCCGGCTAACCACTTCCAGGTCGACGATGAAGTCGGCTTCATTCGCTTCTATCATTCCCTCTCTTCCGACGGCAACGATGAGACAATCCGAGTCTTCGACCGCGGCGACTGGTACTCCGCACATGGCGCCGAGGCCGAATATATCGCTCGAACGGTCTACAAAACAACCTCCGTTCTCCGCAACCTGGGTCGCAGTGAGACGGGCGGCCTGCCTTCCGTGACCATGAGCGTGACCGTGTTCCGAAATTTTCTGCGCGAAGCACTCTTCAAGCTCAACAAACGGGTGGAAATTTGGGGCTCGGTTGGAGCCGGCAGAGGCCAGTGGAAGTTGATGAAACAGGCCAGTCCGGGAAACCTGCAGGACGTGGAAGAGGAGCTGGGCAGTGTGGGCGGACTCGCCATGGAGTCGGCGCCGGTGATTCTGGCCGTGAAGATTTCGGCCAAGGCGTCTGAGGCGCGTGGTGTCGGTGTCTGCTTCGCGGATGCGAGTGTGCGGGAATTGGGTGTGAGCGAGTTCCTGGACAACGATGTCTATTCGAACTTTGAGTCGTTGATTATCCAGCTTGGTGTCAAGGAGTGTCTGGTGCAGATGGACGCGAACAGGAAGGATGTGGAGCTTGGCAAGATTCGAGCTATCGCTGACAACTGTGGGATTGCTATCTCCGAGAGACCGGTGGCGGACTTTGGTGTGAAGGATATCGAGCAAGATCTCACTCGGCTCCTCAGGGACGAGCGCTCGGCGGCCACATTGCCGCAGACGGAGCTGAAGCTCGCTATGGGCTCTGCGTCGGCCCTGATCAAGTATCTAGGTGTCATGTCCGACCCCAGCAATTTCGGACAGTATCAGCTCTACCAGCATGATTTGTCGCAGTTTATGAAGTTGGATGCCTCTGCCCTCCGGGCGTTAAATCTCATGCCTGGTCCGCGGGACGGATCGAGGACGATGAGCTTGTTCGGTTTATTGAATCATTGCAAGACGCCTGTCGGCAGTCGCCTGCTGGCGCAATGGCTGAAGCAGCCGCTCATGGATCTCGCTGAAATCGAGAAGAGACAGCAGCTTGTTGAGGCGTTCGTCGAGAATACGGAGTTGAGACAGACGCTGCAGGAGGAGCATCTCCGCTCCATTCCGGATCTGTATAGGCTCACGAAGCGGTTCCAGCGGAAGCAGGCCAACTTGGAAGATGTGGTGCGAGTATATCAGGTTGCGATTCGTCTCCCGGGCTTTGTCAGCTCGCTGGAGAATGTCATGGACGAGCAATATCAGACTCCCTTGGAGACGGAGTACACCAGCAAGCTGCGCAGCCACTCGGACAGCCTAGCCAAGTTGGAAGAAATGGTGGAGACTACGGTCGACCTGGCTGCGCTGGAGAACCACGAGTTCATCATCAAGCCAGAGTTTGATGACAGTCTGCGCATCATTCGGAAGAAATTGGATAAGCTGCGACATGACATGGACGTGGAACATCGCCGCGTGGCGAAGGATCTGGATCAGGAGGTCGACAAGAAGCTGTTCTTGGAAAACCACCGCGTGCATGGCTGGTGCTTCCGTCTGACCCGAAACGAGGCGGGCTGTATCAGAAACAAGAGAGAGTACCAGGAATGCTCGACCCAGAAGAATGGAGTGTACTTTACCACATCCACAATGCAAGCTCTGCGCCGGGAGCATGATCAGCTCTCGTCCAATTACAACCGAACCCAGACTGGGTTGGTGAGCGAGGTGGTGAACGTGGCTGCATCCTACTGTCCCGTGCTGGAACAGCTTGCCGGTGTCCTCGCACATCTTGATGTCATCGTGAGCTTCGCCCATGCTGCTGTGCATGCTCCAACCGCATATGTCCGCCCTAAGATGCATCCGCGCGGCACGGGAAATACGATCCTCAAGGAGGCGCGGCATCCCTGCATGGAAATGCAGGACGATATTTCCTTCATCACCAACGACGTATCCCTGATCCGCGACGAGTCCTCCTTCCTCATCATCACCGGTCCCAACATGGGCGGTAAATCGACCTACATCCGCCAAATCGGCGTTATTGCGCTCATGGCCCAGACGGGGTGCTTCGTGCCCTGCTCCGAGGCCGAGTTGACAATCTTCGACTGTATCCTTGCCCGTGTCGGCGCAAGCGATTCGCAGCTCAAGGGTGTCTCGACTTTCATGGCCGAGATGCTGGAGACGTCCAATATCCTCAAGTCCGCGACGTCAGAGTCCCTCATCATCATCGATGAGCTGGGCCGCGGCACCAGCACATACGACGGCTTTGGCTTGGCCTGGGCCATCTCCGAGCACATCGTCACCGAGATCCGCTGCTTCGGGCTCTTTGCAACTCATTTCCACGAGCTCACGGCCCTCGCGGACCGATACCCCAAATCCGTCAAAAACCTGCACGTGGTGGCCTTCATCGGAGACGGCACTAACGACAACACCGGAGAAGAAAAGCCCAAGAAGGAGCAGGTGACTCTGCTTTACCGCGTCGAGCCCGGTATCTGCGACCAGTCCTTCGGTATCCACGTTGCGGAGCTGGTTCGGTTCCCAGAGAAGGTGGTCAATATGGCCCGGCAAAAAGCCGAGGAGCTCGAGGATTTTACGTCTGCAGAGGCCCAGGGGCAGCAGGCTAGCGTGTTTATGGACGGGTATTCTCGGGAAGAGGTGGAGGAGAGCAGCGCGCTTCTCAAGGGGATGTTGTTGAAGTGGAAGGCGGAGATTGAGTCGTCCGACAAGAAGTTGACTGTCGAGGAAAAGAGGCAGATCATGCGCGATCTGGTCAATGCTGATGAGAAACTCCGGGCAAATAAGGTCTTCCAGGGTATCAAGGCTTTGTGATGGTCTTTGATATAGCTACTTTCTCTGTCTCGGGTATAGCGTAAGGTGTTTGGCGTGTATACAAGGGTCAATGACTAGATGTACCGGTTTACAATGATATTATTCTGTTCCTAGTCTTCTTTGAGATCTCACAGCAGTGCCACCCTGAGGCCGCGCCCTATCACTACAGAGTCATCCAGGATTTCTGATATCCTGATACTGCTTTCACTGATCAAATCTGTCCATACTCATTTTCGGCCACACTTTATTAAGCTGGACGCCGGGGGCCTTCTCCATTATATATTCGGCGCCAACTGGGTTTTCTTCTGCTTTGCAGCACCAACTTAGCACTTTAGGTACCGGGGTGCGTAGCTCATTTCTGGTCTAGGAATGGATATTAGGATAAAGGAGGGAATCTTAGACAAGGCGATTATCAATTCCGCTTACAAAGTCCATTGTTGCTACTTCGCTGGCAGTGGTGTAGTGAGCCCGTCCAGCTTTTGGATATGGTACTTTGCCTACGATTTATGCCCCGTCCTGCATTGTGGAAAGAAGGTCTTATTGAACATGCCATTGGGAAACTTTTCAATGTGCCGCCAATTGATTCAGCAGCACGCTTTGCCAGCTCATTCATGTTGTTCAGTGTGACGTATTGCCATTTCGTGAGCTTCATTTGCCAAAAGCAGCCTCTTGTATAGCGAAACCAGTGGTCATTTGCCTTCCAATTCGTGTGGGATGACCGGCTGAGGTCGATCATCAGTCGACTTGCAGGATAGGACGGCCGCATCCTTCCTTGCTTCTTAAACAGAGAAACGGCCTTGCGTATCATAATAAGCTTGCAGACGTAGAGTTGACAGACTGTAATAACCGAGACAAGATCCTATGCAGAGATAAGGTAGAGTCCACGTATCTAAAGATTTGCAAAAACACCAAAAGAGAGTATGTCGTAGTAGGAATCAAGCAAGAGAGAGATAGCCAAATGGCAAACAAATTGCACAACCTTACAAGGTTTCAGGGGACCGGAGAGCTAGAGGAAGATGAGAGGGGTGCTTCCTCATGCCATTTATTAGGGTTAGCTGTGGTCCAGCTTTTCACATCTATGCCTGACATCTCCTCTATCTAGCCAGTGCATCTTGACTTCGTTGGTGAAGTAGCCAGAGAACAATAAGAGTGAGTGCATCACATGACTCAACCAGCTCGCCTTCTTAAAGCGGCAACTCCAGCAATATGCATGGGTTACTTCGTCTATAAAAATCAACAACTCAAATACTAGGAATCTAGGTAGATTTTGATTCTGATTAAGTTCGCACTGGAAAATAATACAGTCCTTTATTGACGGACCCTCTAGTAGGCGTCCTTGCTTGGCCATGCTGGTACTAGCCGATAAGCTGTAGCTATACCTATTCTGGTCAAATTCTAGACTAGTACAGAGTTATGGAGGACAACCGCTCTCGGCTCCTAGGTACTCCGTATCGGCCAGATGTGGTACTCGACACAAGCAACTGCAATAGCCGCAACAACACAATAACGAATCCCGGACAAGACAGTCAGGTATCTTGTCGCGAAGGACTGGCTTGACACTCTTTCTCCTCCGCTGCTAAAATTTACTCCGATCACCAGTTCTCAACCTCCCCTCAACAATGCGCGCAGACTAAATCACAACGGCGGAAACGCTAAACAACTCTGAATTCATGCACCCCTTTTCAATCCTCACTCTCGGTATCTTCGTAGCGGGCTATATCACCGCAAGGTGGGATCTTGTTACGCGGTTATACGAACTGGCCATTTTTGCGTGGGATCACGGTGTCGTGGTGAGTGCGTCTCGGTTCGCGCAACCGGTCCTACCTGGAATTGATGGCTGCCGACACAGGACCACTAATGCGAGGGCAATTGAGCTAATAACCCTTGATCGCAGACACGAACAGCCAAAGGCTTTCTGTTGCTATCGGTCTTCTTCTTCCTCTTGGTTCTTCCGATCAACCATCTTGCGATAAAGGAAGCTGAATTGGTAAATGGTCCTGTCTGAAGTCAATTGCTGAGGGGTGATCGTATGCTGATGCTTCTTTTTGTATGGTAGCACCCTCGCCCGCCGCATCTGGGTGTGTCCGCTCGCGAACAGCTACGCCGCCGAGGCTCTTTCTGATCCGGATCGAAGGATGACAACATGCTCATGGGCGATGGATTGCTACGGGTATTCTGGCCATACGACCTCCCTCGGTCCTCATCGCCGGGGGTGATTGTTGGATGGAGGAACTCTGAACTGGATTTGTTCGTCCTCACAGTGTTGGAAGATGTTGAGGTAAGCTAGCGTTCTGTCCCGAGCCGCAGGTCGGCTTGGGGAGCTGATGGTTGACTCGTGGGATAGCCTCGAAATGTCGACAATGCACTACGTGCGGGAATCCTCTTTCGCAACAGCCCTCATCCGATTGCGCGGATATTCACGCTTTGTGGCAGATCGACAATGCATGTTCTGGGATCAACTAATCCACAAGACCCGCCGTCGGCATTTAACCCCGCTCATCTCTATGTGACAACGCATCCGTCGTATAAGGTCCCTCGGATATATTGTCCCCCGGAGGCGAATATATCTGTTCAGGTTATCATGTTCCATCGTCCACATCCAACCAGGATGGAGTACATGTCCCTGGATCCGATTTCCCTTGCTCTGGGCGATAAAGTGTCCATCGCTGATAAACCAGAGGTTGTACCGGCGGCCATCGATGCCGAAGAGGAGCGGGATAGAGCAGCGCGGGATAAGCTGGTTGAGAAGCTGAAGTTACACACAGTCGTCAAACATATGCCTTCGCCTAAGGAGCAAGCACTACCTCTCATCATCAACCAGGTCAATTGTGCTTATGAAATGGGAAAATTGATGGAAAAGAATAGCCATCTGATTGGAATCCGAGTTAAGCGAAGTATGAGCGTGGGAGAACGCGTGGTCGAGTCTGCATCAACTCTCTGGGACCTCTTTGTCCTCGGGGTCTCGCATGTGTTCTGGCAGTGGATCTGGCCAGTGGCCACTCGTATTTTCATCATCGGCCTCGTCTTCCATCGTACGATTGCCGAGGTTGTTCTGCAGATACTTGAGTGGCGTGCTCGTCCTGATGCAGCTGCCTTGAAGGACATCTCTGCGACGGCTCAGCAGGTTGACATTCGACTCCAGCAATTTTGCTACTGGCCGATACAGTACGTTAAGCTGCGCCAGAGGAAAGACGACTGGGAGAGTGTTACTACGAGTCATCCGGATTACATCCGTTTCTACAACAGCTTGTGGCTCGTGGCCAATGATGTGATCATCGGTATTGCGCTGGGCTCATACATCATCGACAACGCCAATTGGGTGGCTTTCCAAATCAACAGTGTCCTCACTGGCTGGACAGTAGAAGGGTTGCAGCGGACTATATCATGGTTGATGGACTGGCCGGCCGGCTTGAAGCTTAATAACGAGCTTGCTGCATTCTTGGGTGACCTCTTTCTCTGGGTCATTGAAAACTGGGCGGGTATGCATTTTCTTCTACTAGATCTATTATTCTCTCTCGCTAATTATGGGGCAGCTTGCATTGCGAATCTGCAGCCTTACCTCCCGCATATCATATACGTCGTTGGATGCTCGAGTTTCGCCGGAGCCAGCATGCCGATCGCCCTTTTTTCAGATCTCGTCTCCATTCTAACTGTGCATATTTACTCGTTCTACGTTGCGTCCGCCCGTATATTCAATTGGCAACTTACTATCATCATATCTCTCTTTCATCTCTTCCGCGGCAAGAAGCGCAACGTCCTTCGGCATCGAATAGACTCGTGTGATTACGACCTTGATCAGCTTCTGCTCGGCACTATCCTCTTCACAGTTCTCTTCTTCCTTCTGCCCACTGTGATTGTATTTTATCTAACGTTTGCCTCCGCGAGAATGTTGATCATCTCGCTAAAAGCGGCACTTGACACGTGCTTGGCTTTTCTCAACCATTTCCCTTTGTTTGCGTTGATGCTGCGTGTGAAGGATTCCCGACGGTTACCAGGTATGTTGGTTTTGCTCATCTGCTTGATCAGCAGTCACTGACCAAATTCGAGGTGGTATTCGTTTCGAACTACGCGAGGAGCAGGACAAGTCTCTTCATCCGTACTCCAATATGCCTTTCATCCATCTCGAGGTATGTCCACCTAATTCATCGTGTCATTGAAACTACCGCCAGAGCAAGTTCTGATTGAGATAGTCGATTCCACTCCCTCTCCGCGCCATGTTTGACCAGTACTTCCAACTCGGTCATCGTCTCCGGAAGCACTATCTTTCTCCGCGCGTGATATTCTGCCTCTTCACTGGCCGTTTTGTTCCTCCCATCCACCGCCGTAATCTGTACAGTATGCAGTACAGCATGCTCCCTGCGCATCGGGCAGGTATGGCAGAGGTGTGGTCTCTGTTGACCCAGCCCCGAAAGACAAGCAGTGGTAGCAGTGGCTCTTCTTCGATGGGAGGGGTCACGGCTGCCAATGGGTTACTTAGGGTTCCATCAGGGTTTGCACAAGGAGATGTCAGACGACGGAGCCACCGGTATTAATGCTCAATAATGTGTATAATATGTCATGACGCATATAATCAAGAGATTTAACGCCTAGTCTGTTGCACGGTCTGGTTGCCTCAGTCCTTGCACACGATGCTTTGGGACCATTTCCGATCAACGACTCGGGTTAGCATTTCGCTAGGAAACGTGACGTAACTCCGGATACGAGTACATAATGAATGAAGGTACAAGCATGCGAGGAAGTCGTCAAAGTATTATACATAAGAGAATCCAGTCGTTCTCGAAGACAGGCCACTTCCAGTCAGTGGATATATATCGCTCAGATAAAACAGATTCGAGTATATGTTCAAGCCACCACATATGAATTTGCCATGGATCTAGTAACGGGGGTTTGAGCGGAAACCGTCCAACGAATACTAGTCGTAGCAATACCCGACTATGGTCATGGAGGGCAAGCATCCAGGAGATGTTGCCTGCAGGAGCGGAGATGAAGGAGAGTGTCCC